AGAGAAAACTTGAAAATATTAATTTTGTAAGGCTAATATGTTAATTTTTTTATAGGATCTTTTTAATCCACTCTTGGGTGGAGGTTATGTTATAAGGAATAATAGCATACATGCAGCAAATTCGATACAGGTGACTATATATGTTTTTATATTAATCTAATCTAATTGATATAAAAATAGTTTTATATATCCCATTTTTACTATTTATTTGGATTGTTTCATTGTAGTTTGATTTTGTTTTTTGTCTTATTTTTGCAGGAAAACTGACACATGTTTGATTTAAATGAAGATAAGAACTCAATTACATGATTCATTTGAGTAGTTTGAGTTCTTTTTAAAAGTTAGAACGTGTGTGATTCAGGAAAATTGACACATGTTTTATTTTTTTAGAGGCATTGACTTCAATTTTAAGCAACTTTTTGTTTACTCGATTTGTTTGATGGGTTCTCGGTGACAACGAAGGACTTGAGTATTTTAAAAAATTATCCTGCTTGTTTTATTAAAGTTGTGGAATTTATTAATTTCACGCGCGATGAGTTTGGCAGTGTAACTTTCATAGTTTTGGTTTGTGTAGAACAACTGATTCGTTGGCTTTATTATTCATGTCTGATTTGGATTATTGCTACTCATGTTTGGAACAATCACATTGTGCTCCAAAGCCGAAAGTTCATTACCTGGGTTCAGTATATAACATAATTTAGACTGAACCACGGTGTTGAGTTTAGATGGCTTCAAATCCTTGCTGAGTTGAGAATATAATGGTCAAAGATGGAGGAGCATATGCTGTTGTTATATCTAATATCATAAAGTTTCTTGGCCAAGAGAAACAACCACTGAAGAAAGGAGAATTATTTGTTGTAACTAAATGTGTTGCCTCTATGTCTCCAAGCTTTGCTATTTGCACTTGTTGTAACAAAATGTGCTGCCTCTATGTGTGTATTCAAGCTTAGTTATTTGCCTGATGATAATAATTTCATTGTATTATCCACAATGTGATTACAGCTCAACTTATTTTGTCATATAAATTATAAGTCCATGATTATACAAATAGTCACTCCTCAAAATTTACCAACAAGTCACATTTAGCCTACACATGTTTAATATTCCATAACCTAGAAACCACTATGCTAACTTACCCACGAAACGACAAACTATACAGGTCCCACTAGTGGAGAATAAAGACTTCTATAGAAAGAATAAAACACTTAAGCAACAAAACTATACACCACACCAACACAAAAACATCACTGTAACGCAAAATTCGTTTTATTGAATTTATAAACACGAGATATTCGTACAAATGGATTTCAACGGATCGAATGAAATAAAGTGGATTCTAAATCTCTATTATTCCTCTGATTAATTTCGTCAAGAACAATCTTCAAGTGGATTTGAGACTTTTGGAGACGAATCTTTAGTTTGATCTCCGCAGGTCTTGAATATGAGTTTAAATAACGTTTCTTCGAGGGCTTGACAGCTTGATCTCGAATTGGACGTCTTGATTTCCCAAGAACGTGAAGAACACGAGTCCTTGGTCTTCGTCGCAAAGTTGATCTTCGATCTTCTCTACGCCGGATTTGACTTTAATAACGTAATTCGGAGGCTTGGCAGCTTGTTTCCGGATTGAACGTCGGTCTTGAGCTTGAATACGCTTGAATCTTCCTTCAAATCTTCAAGAACGCCTTTGGATCTTCAAGAACACTTGAATCTCGTTGTGAGAATTCTCTAGAGCTTTTGAACTTGGAACTTGAAATATGAATATGAATTGTGTTTTTTTCACCTTAGGGAGGGTCCCTATTTATAGGTGTTAGGAGAGGGAGTCTTGGAAAAGAAGGCTTCAATTTGATTGGTCCCTAATTTCCAATATTTATTTATTAAATAGATAATTAGAAGATGGACTCTTGGAAAAGAAGACTTCAATTTGATTGGTACATGAATTTCCACTTATTTATCTCTTTAATAATTATTAAAAAAAATAATTATTTATTTTACTCTCCAAGAAAATGACATGTGGCATTCTTTAATTGGCCTTCAAAATATACATGTGGCATTCTTTAATTGGCCAACAATATATATTACATAATCAATTAATTAACTATTTAATTTAAGAATTAAAATTTGATTAATTTTCCAAATAAAATAAAAAATTATTAAATTGACTTTGACATGGAATTTGACACTTGTCGCCATTTTATTGGCTCAAAATTTGATTGTCTACAATCACTTAAACACTAACTAGAATAACACCCTCCCCACAACCGGCAAAACACTCCGTAACCCACTAGGAACCCAACACCTGAAGAGGAACACACTCACGGAAAAAAACTCAGCCCAACAACAGATCCAGAAACTCCAGTACACCAACGACTAACTGAATATGTCCCGGACTGACCCTCAATTCATCTCCTGAACGGACCATCCCCAAGCCAACAACTGAAGTACAACACCACCGCTCCGCACACACCCACCAGCAACCACAGGCCCGACAATCTGTCGGAGGCAGCCGAAGCTGCAACCTGCACCCGCACCCGCAACCCGATTTCGACTCTTTAGTGTTGGAATTGCACTCTCATGTCTAGCCTTATATTTCAGTTTTCTTGTCTTGAGTAGGAATTAGTTATTCTTTTTCCTTCTATGTACTAAGTCGCACTCGCATTTTCTCTTATTATTTGTTGCATTTCGATTAGTAAGTTAGTCATAGAGGTCAAAACCGTAGGCGCTTACTAGGTCAAAACCACGACCCATCACCTATACGCCCTCAAGGTTGTACCGACCCCTCATCCGTCGAAGGTCCACAAGGAGATCGGCTTCTCATTCCTCCATTTAGGTCGACTCGTACCCTGAGCTACTTTACCGAGCTTGACGAGGTCGAGCCTTGACACCGAGCTAAAGCTCCTTTAAGCCAGTCACACCCGAGCTAACCCTCTAGACCAGTTCACCGAGCTATCATGGGTGCTATATCACCTTGAGAATCAAAATTTTATGGGATTTTATATACATTAATTGATTTTTTTTCTTATTTCAAAAAGTTTTCAAAAGAAAGTTGGGAAAAAAAATAATTTAACAATTATGAGTGATGTAAAGTAAAAATATAAGAGGTATATAGAGAAACATCCCGAATGCTAAAACCATTTTCCTGATCAGTCCTTACAATAATTAAAAAAAAATCTAGTATACTCCGTCGTAAAATGATAAAGACAAAATAATTGGTCTCCTCTAAAGTTAAAAATACGATTTTGTCCCGATACTTATACGATTTTCAATCACAATATTTTGAGCATCAAATGTGCTCATACGAACACAACAATCAACCAATATACAAAATCTAAAACTTTAATTTAAATATGTGTTAAAGTATTAAAAAAAAAAAGTTAAAGTTGAAAACTATATTTAGTATTTTAGAATAAATGACAATTTTTCCCAGTAATTTTTTTATTGTTCGAAAAAACCACTAGCCCATGAAATAACATATATTTTGCCAAACACGCATGTTATTAAGCATTTCTATCATGATTTTCCGCAATTAGTTACATGGTAGATTTAGCCCAAACTTACATTTTCAGACATGTTATGCTCGATTTTTATTAGTTAGTGCACATTTTATGTAATCACAAAAGTTTTTTTAGCAATACTGTCATTTATTGGCTTTGCCTACACTAAAAAAGGAGAAATGCTACATTGTTAACCTAGTGTACAACTAGGTTGACAATACAAGAGAAAATAAAAAAATATACAAGTGGATGTTTTCACTTGTGTTGTCAACCTAGTTGTACACTAGGTTGGCTATATATCATTTTTTCTGAAAAATGATTTCAAACGAACAATATTAATTTAGAAAATGAAAGTTTATATACCAATTTTTTTCGTACCCTTTTTTTATTTAAATATGATAATTATATGAAAAATAAGTTTTAAATATTGATATATTTGATCTAATTCATTATTTAATGAACTTATTTTGTTCGATTAATTAAAATAATAATGTAAAAAAATAAATAAACTATATAAAGATATAAACGTAATTTAAAATCGTAAAAAATTATAAATTATATATTACGTGCATTGCATGGGCGCTTTACTAGTCCAACAAAAAAAAAAAGACAAAATTATTTCTTGAGATTTTTATATCGTTCCTATAAATATTTATTGGAATTTGATTGGATAATTTTTTTTCATTCGATTTTGTTGAAATATGATTATATATTGTTTTGTAGTGATTACCTAATACTGGGAAAATTTCAAAATTGGTCCTATAATTTGGCCACTGTCCAAAAAACCACCCCGATATTGACCACTTTCAATTTAGGTCCTATAATTTGTCGATTTCATCAATTTTGGTCATTTTTTATCCGCACCCTGGATTAAAAAGTGACGTGGCATGAAAAAAGGACCAAAATTGATGAAATCGTCAAATTATAGGACCAAAATTGACGTGCCACGTAGATCATAATCACGCCATGTAACATTGAAAAACTGACACGTCATGCCACGTCACTTTATAATCCAGGGGCGGATAAAAAAGGACCAAAATTGATGAAATCGACAAATTATAGGACCTAAATTGAAAGTGGTCAATATCGGGGTGGTTTTTTGGACAGTGGCCAAGTTATAGGACCAATTTTAAAATTTTGCCCCTATTTACTCATTCTTTCCCTATCGTGATTATTGTCTATATTGGGTTTCGAACCCCTCATATACAGGTGTGTGTTGATTCTACAGCGGTAAAGTGAAGTTCACCACACATGACAGTTTGATCGATATCACCCGTGAGGGTGGCACCCATACCCATTGGATGTGTGCAACATACCGTAACACTTGTAAAAAAATGAAAAAGCATATCTTTACAACACATGAAGTATATGACACAAAATGCTATTCTATGTAGCATATAGAGCACTCATTATGTATCTATAGAGATGAGCAAAATGTACTGATGTTTAGTAGTTGTAACTCGTGAGCATGTTAATTATAAGATTTTCCCACACAAGAACCAAAACCCCATGATATGGGGTGGAGAGAAAAAGTGAGAAGCATGCCATTGAATCTTGATTTAGGAGAAATGAATATAGTATTTTGCCAAGAACCCTTTAAGAATATGATTTGATGTATGTATGGGATTTTGAACCCAAGTATAGGAAAGGGAAAAAAAAATAGAAAAAAGTAGGCAATTTTTGGCAGACTCTGGTGAGTAAATGGGGGGCAAAGAATGTGAGCAAAAATGGCTGTGGTGGGTTTGATGATGATAATGCACGCTCGCAGCTTTTTCTTTTCTCCTCTTTTTTCTCTCCCATTTCTCACGCATGCTCCCACTCATACACAACTTCTCACAAACAACACACCCCAACAAATAATTAATAATTTATATATTTATGTGTGTTTTATTTGAACCTTATCATATCCAGGTTTTATCATCACACCCACATTTTAATAGCATCCGTACAATCATAAGCCCCAAATTTAATTGTTAATTTATCCATCTGTCATTCATTCACATATGACATATCTCATAAAAACATGAAAGTCCCATTAATTAGCCTAAGTACCTATCTCTGCCAACATATATGAAAATCCCATTAATTAGCCTAAGTACCTATCCCCTGCCAACATATATCCTATGTTTTGATTAACATCATGTAGAAGCATATTAATTTTTGAGCCACTCACCATGTTTCTCAAGAAAAGAAAAAAATTATGAAAAGAACACAACCTAAATGGCTAAAACAACACTACTTAAACAGGAAAGGAACTTGTACCAAACCCACCCCACCACTCCACTCCACTACCCTTGCTCCAAATGCATTCCCCATAAAGAAAAAGGCAGTTTGTTCTCCCCTTTTTTTGCTCATCCAATTTCCTCCTCCTTCACAACCTCCCAAATTCATCTT